CGTCGTGTCGCGCTTACTACCACCACTCGATGCACCTGATGCACTTCGCTTCCCTTCTTCGACTCTCTTCGTAGTCGAATATCACCGATCCGATCGCCAACGATTATTAATATCAAAAGTTCGTCTCTATAAAATTTATCCAAGAAAAAAGAACTTCCAACATATATTTTTTCTTACATATAACTTCAAGTATATCAAGTATAATTAAGTTAATTATATTAATCCTTATCAAATGATTCTCTCTCTCTCTCTCTCTATTAATCTTTTTAGAATGCAGAATTATAGCGTTAAATTTTTCTAATCGATATCGAAATTAAAGCAGACCAATGACCGGTGTGTAATCTGACACCGGTGACGCTTGTAAATCAATATAGCTTATTCGCGTAAGACACCCACCCTCTGAAAATTGCCCACTAGGTTCGTGACTCAGGCCTCGCGGTAATCAAAAACCGAAACCCTACACGTAGTCGAGCGAGACGCGGCCGATCCGCTATTGGAATTGTCACATCATTTTCAACGATCGGCGTTATAGCTGTGAGACAATAATGGCATATCTTTCGCGTATCGCGTTGCCTATTTCCAACCGAATGACAATCTCGGCGTGATCAGCAGGCCACGAACAATATCATCGACAAACGTAATGAATGTAGATCTTGATCTTTTTTCCTACGACGCGTTCTCTCGAAGGTCTCCAAGATTGTCTCTTACGCCTTATATATCTCTCCCTCGTACATGCGGTCGCACGGTATGCATGGCAACCGGTTTGTAATAGTATCTAGACGCGAGTGAAAGAGCGGTCAACCCCGATACAGGAAACGCCGACACATGGATGGTAGCTGCAGTCGGGGGAGGTGTTTCTTCCAGTTCCTATTACGTCGCCTTTTTGCGGTTGGCGTGTGTCAATATCGATAGCTTCAACGAGACTTGTGATTTGTCCGTCTAATGGTCCTCGTGTTTATAAATTAGAAAAAAAAGTACAATATATATACGCGACTCGTTCTCTTTTAAAATTATTTATTGTTAAAATTATTTATTATAAAAATATGTTACACGTGCAATAAGAACAAAAACTGTTCATTTCATAAGGCAATAATGTTATGCGTTACTTTGAACGGCGAGTTTTCGATAGTAAGGCGAAAAACGCCAAGAGACGGAACGCCGCGATAAGCGCGAACAAGCAGAGAATGTCCATCGAAAAGTTCTCTTTCCTGAAATTGTAAATTTGGAGAACGGTGCGTCCCGATTTCGGACATGTGATGTTGCTTGTAGTGCAGTCTATAGAGTCGATCTCTGACCACTGGTTGACCAAAAGAGCCTCGTTACCGTAACGGAACCAGGACAGATATGAGAACCAGAGAAAATAGGACGGCACAGACCTGTCGTACGAATACGTCGATTAGTTATATCTTGAATATTAGTGTCGGAAATAACGATACTCACGCCGTGTTTAGGAAGAAGCCACCGAACAGCAAGAACGGTATTATCACCGGAGGACCAATGGAAAGGGCCGTAGTCACGCTGTTGCTGATACAGGATATCAGATAACCTACGAATGAAACAGAGATTGAACGCGAGGACGCGAGACGCGTTTCCGTTTAAAGCTATCTCTTGCCCGGGAAAAAAAATCTATATATAAATCAGATATAAATATATAAAATGATATATAAAATTTTTCTATATAATTATTTTGCAATTGTTCTTCTTATATACTTATATATAAGCATATATATTTATATTTGATCATGTATGGAACTTTTTTTCCGGGTGATTACCGAACGAGGTCGACACGTTGGCTACGAGAGTCAACACGGCGGCTGCGATAAAGAAATGCCTCACGTCGGGGTAGAGGCCGATCATGGGATAAACGATGACGGTGAACATCAGCGGTATCGCTAGAAATATCGGCGCTTCCGCCAGCGTCTTACAGATGAAGTAGACGTCAGTGCGATACATGCCATTTCTGTGCTCGCGAAGGAATATCGGTAATTCGGCGCAGAATACCTGTGTAGGAGTACGTTTCGATCTTAGTCGACCTTTTTCAAGCATTTCCTCCAATAAGATTTGAAATAAAAATTTTAAACGCGGCTCGGCTTATGTCTCGGAATCTCACGTTAATGACAGCGAAGACGTTCTGGAAAGTCATACAGCTAAGGAAAATGAACAGAGCGCCGTTGATATTCATCACGCCGTCTAGATCGATTCGCTGGCCAAAGTAAGTGGCACCGATCAATAGCGAGATCATCTGCGACAGAAAATTCCAATTCGTTCCTTTCTATATCTATTTTTTCGTGGAATGATGTGGAATTGATGTTATGCCATAAATGTTTGGGAGGGAAACGCACGATGGTTTGTAGGAGGCGAACTTTAATGAGAAGCGGTTCCTTGATCACCGACAGCCAGGAACGCCATAGAACTGCGTGAAACTGCTCGCACCAGCTCGCCTTGTAAGGCGAACGACCGGCATCTTTGGAATGATACTTGAGGAAACTCTCGAATTCGCCATGGACTGTTTCTGCCTCTGTGACGATCTTTCTTCCGTATTCGCTGCTCCGGAAGGTGTCGCACGTCGTTTTGATCGCATGTCTGCAGGCCAACTCGCGTCCCGGTACCACGGCCAACATTTGCACGAAGTAATCTGCAGGGTTGTAATTGCTGGGACAGGCCGCGCCAAGCCTGAAAAAGATTATACATTGTAACGAACGAGTTTCCATTTTTAAAAATACGAATCTAATAGAGTTTGATGATTCATTTGCTGAACTTACGTCTTGAAGAAGGAACAAGCTTGCACGGCTGTACCCATAAAGGCGACTCTTCCTTCGGCCATCAACAGAATTTTGTCAAATAGAACGAACAGCTCCGACGAAGGTTGATGTAAAGTGGCGACGATCGTTTTACCACTTGCTGTTGAAATTTGTTTATTATATCTTATACCACAAGATAACTTCGCTGGCAGCTCTTATCGTGGCTCACTCACCCGCCAAGGCCTTCAAGATGGAAATAACCTGATGAGCCATGAAGGAATCCAAGCCGGATGTCGGCTCGTCGCAGAACATCAGCGGCGGATCGGTCAATACCTCGGAAGCAAAAGACAATCTCTTCATCTCACCGCCCGAAAGACCCTTTACTTTACCGGGTATTCCTATCCTGGTGTTTCGACATTTCGAAAGGGCAAGCTGCTTATGAAAGAAACACTGAATTGACAATACTTATTCCAAGTATTCGTAACGTTTGATACCGACAATTAAAAGAGTTATCTTACAATGAAGTTAATTTTTAATAAACTTTAAATGCATTTTAAAATTTTAAAATTAATAAATTAATAAATTAATAATGTTTTAATAAATTTAACACAATTGCATTACCTCGTCGATGACTTCATTGACCCTCTTAATCCTCTGGTGACGAGGTATGTGACGATCCATTCGCACTGTCGCCTGAAACATTAGATGTTCCGTCACCGTCAATGTGCCGATAAATAAATCGTCCTGTTGCACGTAAGCCATCCTCGAGGTGAGAACGTCCGGCGATATCCTCCGACCGTTGGCGGCCATCAGACCAGACGTGGACACCCCGCGTGTCGTGCGAAATGTCAGCGCGTTTAATAAAGTTGTCTTGCCTGCACCTGATGCGCCCATGATTACGAGCAATTCGCCGGGATAGGCCACTCCGCACACTTAAAAAAAATGCCGATTTATTTGCCGATTTATTTACGGTAAAAGCTACGTAGACACACACGCGTATTCTGCAAATCTCTCTGAAAAAAGTCCATGGATAATCATATATAAATATATATATTTATAATTCTATATATGTATAATGATATACATAAGAAGAATAATTGGAAAATGATTAGAAGAATAATTTTTGCATAATTTTTTAAGAAAAACTACAGTTTTGCAATTAAATTAAATATAATATTCTCTCTCTATATATCTCTCTCTATACATATATGTATATATATATATATATATATCCCCTGTTAATTAAGGTTAACGATTTCGTTAGCACAGTTTTAATTAACGCCAGTGCATCACAGTCGATCATAAGTTTTCAAAGTTTGTAAATACATTAGAAGCTGAAGCGCGTCTAATTGAATTAATTAAATCCAATTTGCCCGATAGGATCGACATTTCGCTTTCGTCTCCATTTATTTTATTTTACATTTGCCGCCTCCGTTTCGCTTCAGGGTCAATTTAATATTGCTTAAGACAGAGCTCCGCTTGTTAAAAAGGGAGGCCCAATCGGCCAGACAACTACTCGTTTACTAGTCTTTGCATTGTAAACGATGCTTCATCGGTATAAGTCGTATCAGCGGATGTCTATAATATCGCGGAATAGCTTTTCGCGGACATTGCGGAACTTTGTCTTTCATAAACGGATACAGAATATATAAGAGAAAGAGAACATATATGCACATATTATATATGTATATAATTATATTATATGTATATATTTATATACGATTACATATATAAAAGCCGGGCAATTGTCGTGAATATAGAAAAAAAAAATGTATCTGTTCTTTTTGTTTCGTTTCTTTTTACCATCTTTTAATATGTGCTTCTGTGCGATGGACTTTCGAGGCCTGAACATTAACTGATCCCAGATCCTGTCGGTTTTCGTACTATAATAAACATTCACGTCGCTCCATGTGTAGGTAATTCTGTTGGTGAAGATTTCGCTGTTGAAATTTACGCCTATCGGCGCACTTGAAATCGATTTTAGACTAAAGGAGTTCTCGGGACTTCCATCATGCAATCTATCTCTTTCGTTTGCTTCCTATAACAATAGAGCTTCTATTTTCTTTCTACATATTTTAGTGTAAATGATAACGCATTGTAAAAATGTATGTTTTTACTAATATCTTCATTGCTTGAGATAAATTGTTTCAAACTACCGAGTGATTTTTTTTTAAATATTTCTTTCGCCAATATTTCGAGATTTTTTCTGATAAAAATCTGCGCTCATTTTTTATTGCGTTTTTCAAATTCTTAACATCTTTGTAAGTGTAAAAAAGCTTCTCGAATTGCTGAATTAGATGTATTAAAATTTATTTGCACATAATTGGCTGAGAAATATAATTTCCTGATTATTTCTGTTACAACCTTATTTGCCAAAGTTTATCATTGATTGCTCAAAAACTCAATGATATATTTTTTTAGAGATAAAGAAAGATTGATTTTATACAAAAATAGAATGGTTAATTTGTAATGAAATTTACTGATTTTGTTCGAATTATATCTTTGATCACGTAATCGAACTCTCGCTAGAATCGGTGACTGGAACGAAGCCATATTAGACATAAATGTATCGATCCCTTTAAGAGAAATATTACGGAATATTACGGTATATGTATGAGAAAGAGATATATAAAGATAAATGATAAGCTCGAAGAAAATGCGCGGCAAATTATTCGACTGAAAACGATTTCGATTTGACTTGTCATCGTTTGCATTTGCAAAATAAATATAATTGGGTCGTGTTTTATTTATAGTACTTACAAAAGAGATTGCATGATAAGTAACCCTTTGGCCTTTACCCGCAGAAGTCGTCGGCGTCGTAGATATCAACGGCTCCGTTTCCTCGGTAGCCGTCATTTTTCTAGACGACTATGCTGTTAGTCTTTCCTTTCTCGCAGACGCACTGACAAGTACTCGATTAAAAAAAATAAGACGATCTCTGATATTAATTACAGGTAATAGTAGAACGTGTTTATACTCGCGTGATGTAATTTGCAATAATTTTTACAAATCGCAATCGAAAAAACGCAACGATTTCGAAATCGATTTTATTTACAGTAGACACCGACCAATACAGATCTCTCTATGTGTACGTTGTACAAAATTACAATATTCCAATATATCGTTGCGAGACGATGAAAAAAAAATTGCGAGAGTAAAATATGGTCGCATGTATGTGTTCGAAAACCGCGCACGAAACAGTACAATAATACACTCTCAGAAGAACGAGAGAACCCGGCTTCTTTTCCTCGCGGTATCGCGGATGCGTGTACACACTACCTGCGTATACGATGCGTGAACGACGATATATATCGCGCGCGAATCGGTCGTAAGAAACGCCCCTCTCCGTCGGGTCCCGACGCGTGCACAGTCGCCCTATCTCTCTTTATACAGTCCCTCTGGCCGGATTTATTTTCGGACAAATCCATCCGTAAAAATTAAGAATACGCGATATCGAAATCAAATTCGGTCGAGGGATTTCAAGATGTATACACGTATATGTATCTAATGCTATATGTATAATATTATGCGTGTGTGTATATATATATATAAGAAGTTACTTTAAACAATTTAAATATAATGCACTAGTTAAGAGGATGATGATAATGATGATGATATGAATATGCGACTTTGTGTGACGCAGTCTGCAACATTATTTATTTTTTTTATTTTCTAGAGTGTATTAGAGATCATTATCTTATCTTACATTTTGTTTATGTGTGTGTGTATGTAGGTGTAAGAGAGAGAGAGAGTAAGAGAGAGAGAGAGAGAGAGAGAGAGAGAAGAGCGCGCGGTACGGTCGGGTGGTCTTTTTAGAGCCGTTTTTTTTAGAAAGCGTAGCGGTCTATTATGTAGAACAGCGCTGAAGTATGAATGTGGCCCTACTTCAACTATGTCGCTATATGTGAATTGCGGTATATTTATCAAGATTTTATATATATGTGTATATATATATACACATATATATACATATACATATATATTGTAGGGTGTGATTTTTCGCGTTTTCATATATCTATATATGTATGCATCTGAAACACGATATCGCGCGCGTGATATAATAATTAGGAAAGATTTCACTTGTCATCGGTATGAAATATTATTTCTTTTTGCTTTCAAATAAGAAATAAATCTTAGACATGAGAAAAAAGAATATTTTCAGTCGGCAGTGGCGCGCCTACGCAAATCACTGCAGTTAATTTCGCGCTTAATCGATATTTAAAAAAGGAATACTTGGCTATCCCCAAGATCAAGATCGTTCGAGATCGATCATGATATTTTCATCGATGCTGTTCCGTCGTGTCAGTTTCGCAAAATAGATATTGCTTTGGGTTATCACACACTGTCATTGCCAATGGACGATGCAGAAGAAACCGTATCGTCCATTATCGAAACGATCACCAAGCTTCTTTTCGAATTATAAGAAACGTTGTGACGCGCATGTTGCATTTTTTCGTATCACATTTGACAAATTGAAAGTTTTTATTTTATGTTTTTTGTATAATGAAAATCGGCATATCTTTACGTTGGCGAAGATAATTGTACGACTTTTACGGTTTATTTCGTATTACGCGTAAAGGATTCGTGTGTACCAACCATCACACAAACCTCTTGGCGTATCGCTATAAATATTTTGAGAACAATACCCAATTTTTTAACGAAATAAACCAGTTTCTAATTTTACACGATTTCGAATTTAAGATCGCTCGACGGAATTTCAAACTTAAACTAGACTTTAACTGAGCGAAACTTAAAAAGAATCCTGTTTAGTGATATGTACCGTACGTCCGTCGTTGAAGAACATATTTTACTACACCGAACGTAGGCGTATATATACGGCACCGACTGCTCGTGCTGCGTAGAATAAGGCTCCAAAAAAATGTATGAGCCTAACGTATTTTCGAGTCTGAAGAGACAATTCTACCGAACCAGCTCTCCGTTGACGTAGCAGCAGCAACGATCGATTTTAGTCTCAATTGTATACTGGTCGCGATCGCCAATTTTCTAATCCTAACGTGTCGGATTTACAGAAATGACAGTCTTTATTCTAGTCCACAAATGTCTAGTCCAAGCAGGCAACCAATCGCGACGTGCACAAATGTGTCAGAGCGTTCATTGATAACGCGCACTGTTCAATCGTGACTGCATTCTCAAGTGCTTTCAAGACTCATCGCGTAAAATGCGATTGTCGTCGCCGTTCACGTAGTTTTATTATTCTTGGACATATTATGCGACGCCCAATTTAACGACGTTTTCCACGAATTGCAGAGAGCCTCGGCGAATTTGCTTCTAAAATGCTTTTGCGCTTCATTTTCGGACATTTCTAGGACCTAAAAAGATATTTAAACGCCACTTTAAGTGTATCGTCTTTATTAATTGTAGTATATTAACGGTTGTATCTTTGCGACCATACATACCAAAGTATCTCTAAGATAATTCAGATCTTTCTCCGATGAGAGTTCAGGCAGTCCGGTAGATATCATCATAGCAAATAGAGACAATATAAGTCCTCCATGTTGACGCAAAATCAAAAAGGCTTGCTCGCAATAGCTCTGAAATCTTTGAAACTCGGCGGCGTGACCCTTTTTTGTTTGGCCCTTATTTATAACGTGTACGAAATCGTTGGTCAAAACGAAGGGTACGCGTTCACGTCTAAATCCAAACTTCTCCTTAAAGTGGCCCAATATATGACCGAAATCGACGTGAAACAATTGTCCAGTCTTTTTGACCATTATATTGTCAGAATGTCTGTCGGCTATTCCGAGAACGTAGGTCGCGACGCAGTAACCCGCGCAGCTCAAAGTAAATTCCTCGATCGCTTTGTTCAATGCCATTTCCGTATGATTGTGGTCTTTTAGCCAAGCCAACAAAGAACCTCTCCTATAAAGAAAACAATAAAAATTTTCGTCGTTCGAATTATCGTTTCTGATATCGCGCGATATATCAGATGTTTTACTTACCTGAAGGCCGCTGTCGCAGAGAACGTGCCTTTCTCCTTCTGGATGTTCGCTATCGTTTCTGCATTCAATACTACCTCTATCATCCCGACTCTATTCTCCGTAGATATACAGCCATATGGATTCATACGCAAGTCCAAGCCTTCCTTCTTCCATAGCTTATCCATAATGCGTAGCATTTGAAGTGTTAGCATATCTTGCCTTAAGTCATCTCCGTGTTTGAGGATTAAGTAGATATCGTCGCCGAAAGGATCGCTGTTCTCGAAAACTAGCCAAAGTGGTCGCATCTTACTGTCCATCACCCGACACTTTTCAATTCTAGGGCAAAAAAAGAGAAGCAGTCAAGATTAAAAGAAAAATTTAAAACGTCACCTATTTTCATAAATTTTGAAGATAGTAAACTCACTTGATGCGATTCCACCTGAAACTCGGGTCGAGAGGATTAAAGACGTTGGATATCGCTTCTTGGCAGTGCGGTTCTTGAATAAAGTCCTGAAAGCCTTGGAGAGCCGTTTTACGATCCTTTTTCTGCTTCACTTGCTCCGAGACGCTCCTCAATTTATCCAAACACATCATCTGATTAAATAGCGATTTCATGTGTTGTTGGCTTCCTCTACAGTACGCTTCCAATATGAGACCAAAACGAACTGACACTGAACCGACTTGCATTTCTGACCTAATTTTCATAAATTGAGCAAATGAGAGACAATATTGTAATAGATAAATCTGAATAGTGCATATGAAACTGCAACCAACCTAAGATGCCAAAATAAATAATGTCCTATCCTTTGATTGTTAAGTGCTCGTTTCAAAAGAAACTCCGTCAAAGGACACGCTAGATAATTTTCGTGTTTTAAGGCCTGAGCGAGCTGCAGTAAGTAAAGACTGAGATCATCGTCGGTGATGTCCTTTAAACAACGAACCGCAAAATTTCGAACGTTTTGATCGGCATAAGCATAATCTAATAATTCCAAAGCTTTCTCCGCCGGCAATTTCGGCCATTGTTGTATAAGTGCCGTAGCCTCCGCGACTTCTCTGTAAATATTCGTAAATTTCGATTTATTTATGTCACTTTATAAGCAATCAATCAATATTATCTATCATTACCTATGGTCATTCCATTCTACGCATTGTAACAACTTAGCTAAAAGTGTCGGAATTTCGCGAAGGCAATGATGCCTCAACATCCACATTGTCTTCTTTTCTTGCTCGTGTAATTCGTGCAACGGATCCCGGTCAGTTAGTAATCTCAATTGCTCCAATTGTTGACTAACATCGGACTCCTGATTCAATTCGTCTTTAACCGAACGTTCGTTTGATTGTTCCCGCAACGTTTGGGCATATTCAACCATTTTCTCCGGTGTAGGATAAAGAATGCATTGATCCTTTCCGTAACTAAAATAGTAAACGGATAAAATGCATACAAAAAGCATAATATAACACACAAATATTATATCTCATATTCTGTAAATTACAAAACATGTAGTTACTTTGGAAACGTTAACATGAGAGCGGCCGCCCTGTCTATATGAGGATTCGAAACCACTGTCCCGAGAGGATGAAGTAAATCGTCGTTTTGTATATCTTCCGCATAAGTCCATGTATACAACGTCATAGCACCAGTTTTCAATTGAGATTTAAAATCATATATCGTTGTATTCGCCCAACATAAAGGATTTATAAAGAACTCCTGCTTCGAATCCCGGACCAGTTTTCTGCTCTTTAAGCCTTTTGCAGTCTTGCTGATTTCATACAATACAAAACACAGCCGTGCCATTCGTGGTATATCTCTGACTTTGATGTCGAACTTAAGATTCTCTTCCCATTCGCAACTCCCATCGGGATTTACAATAATTTCTTTGGTTTTTTGACTTTCGCAGAGGGATTTTCCACCGTGAAAAAGGCCAGCTTGTAGTCCAATCTATGTATAAAAGTAAAAAGAATCAGAATTATATGAATCTTTGATAGACCTGTTTCTCAAAACACTTTTAAACAGGTTGTAACCTACTTCTACAGTACGATGAGCGGCATCGCAATTAAGTCGGGAAATTCCATTCACAGTGAAAACAAAAGGCTCCTCGAGTTTCCATACTGAAATATGCTTGCCCTTTTTGCGCAGCGTTAACGTAGAAGATGATGGTTTCGTACGCTGCAACGTGTCCACTTCTGGATTGTCGTTAGCGTTATCCTTGTCCACAGGTACGCTAGTTTTCTTGAGCGTAACCAGCGTCGGTGTGATGTCTTTCGCTAGGCAATCTTGAATATAACTAAAGTGTATGAGCGGAGTCTTGTCACCGATCAAGTACTCCTCCTGTCCGCAAATCTTAAGCGTAAATTCGTTTGGGTGTTCATCCCGAGTATTAAGAGTATTTGCTCTCTTGTTCAAGATTATCTCGAGTAATTCAGGTGGCGTAGTGGTATGTGCTATTTGAAAGGTAAACGCTGTCTGAAATAATACAATTGCCATTTTAGCGAGAATTTATTGGAAAAGGGCAAAATGTATAAAAATTATTTGGTTTTACCTCTGAGTTTTCGAATTTAGTAACCAAAACAATATTTCCATCTTTCAATCGAGTTTCTATATTTTTAGGTACGATTGGTGCTGGTGCTATTCTCGATGGGAACTGATAATGCACTTTTTCTATCCAGCTTTTCTTCTGTCTACCTAAAGCCACATCATCTCCCAAGAGACGCATTTTCCATCTAAAGTCATTGACCTCGGAATTTTTCATGGCAGCAAACTCATGCAAGCCTTTACCGATTAAGAGGCCGATTTGTGAATCTAAATTCCTATCGCTTTTTATACCTTCGCGTTCTATAACTTTTAACACCGAACAAAACGGCCTTATATCACAGAGACGTCTTGTTTCATCCCGCAATTCTTCTACCTCAGCATTTGAGTTGATACACGAGAATACATACGACGGTGCATCTTTTAATGTTCCATGAAGAGGGTACTTACTAGCCTCATCCCATAGATCCTGTCAAACATTTATTAAATGTATAGCCTTTGTATAATTATATTAACCATATATATATTCCTCCTTTATATACATGTATTCGTTCACCAGTTGCAAGTTCAAATACGTACATGTATATATTCTTTTCATATAACATTAATACTTCCTCAAATTATTATAATTACATTCAAATAACTTTTTTTATTAAGTGTATACATGTGTATACATTTCTAAGATGCTAGAATCTTGTTACACTTTTTACATTCAAGCACATGTTTTTGCAACATTACGCAGTCTAACTGATTAAAGTATAAGAATATACATTCAAATGAAAGGGAAAAGAACGTTTACCGCGCAATGATAGAAGAGATGTGTACATTGTATGTACACGAGGATGCTCACCTCCTTGATCTGATCTAAGGTAATATTGCGATTGATCTCAAACGGTATGACAACACCGTTTGGCATGAGGCACGTGAGCTCCACCACCGAGGCCTCCTGTGCATCCCCGGGCCTCTCCGCCCAAAAGTTGTATTTGTACGCGCTCGGTATGGCACCGTGCACCATGATGAATAAGAAAATACAGCAACCCTATATCAGGCACAAGTTAAATGCACGCACGTACGGTGGGCGAGCATCACGTACATATGTCGATCCACTTTCACATCACGAAAAGACGAGGAGACGGAAGAGGCATTAATCAAAAATACCTCCCGACCCGTCTATGCCGTCTGATAAATCTCTGGTTCATCTTTCCCATTTGCGGTGGGAAAGCTGGTTCGCGCGAGTTAGTTTCGTAACGTCGAAGAATTCGCGGTACGGTAGAGAGAGATATATATGTGTGTGTGTGTGTGTGTGTTATATGTGTGTGTGTATATATAATATAGATATTGCTATTTACTCTACTGCGAAAAAATCCGTGTCTCTTGGCGATATGATCGCGGACAGAATCACCTCACATTCGCAATGCGATGGAAACGCATCGGAACATTACTTTTTTTTTTTTTTTCAAACAGAACCGATGTCTCGTACGCGTGCCAAGATACAAATAACCATTATCGTCCACACTTAATAACAAAACACGGTTCCGCCATTATTTACTTCGCGTTCAACCAGCAGCAACAGCAGCAGCGAGCGGATACCGTATGAGACGCGCTTAAACGCGCCGATCTTCCGCGCATCGAGTAGCCACGCTTTGCTGATTGGCTCTCTCTGGCTGCGGTCGAGAAGACGCTAGAGATGCTTCGAAGCATTGCATTAACCAATTAGAATAAAGAAATCTTTACTCTCTTTGCTCTGATTGGTCAATCAAACGCTTCGAAGCACTTCTAGCGTCTTTCCAACCGCAGCCTCTGTCGGATAGAGAATTTCTCGTATATTCCGGAAAAGAAAATATTCCTATATATTATATATATTTGCGTACAATTTTTTTTAGATATATTTACTTATATTTTTTAATTCTATTTATTTATTTTATTTATCACAGTTATTTTATTTTATATTATATTTATCTTTTTCATGAAGCTTTTTTAGGTTGCGTTCCAATATTCACTGCCAGTACTGAAAATCTATAATTTACGTCACGTACTGCTCGTCGTCGTGCTTTTCTGCGTCTTCTTCGGCTTGAAGTCATCGTCCTCAATGCTAAGGACGGCGAATCGCGATGGCACGGCGGTCGCCATTTTTTCGTCTGACAACGAACGAAAGCGCACGTCAAAAGTTGACAGCGACGTCGAATCGGCAGCACTTTCAATGTCAGGCCAGAGATGCTTGGCGAGAAAATTGGCGAATCTCAGATCTCAGCGTCAAAGACAACCTCGTCTCGTCAACTGTCGGTGTTGCTACGCGTAATAAAACCGGCAGGGCGACCGGAAAACAGAACGCGCGCCGAGAAAAATTGGCGCTGTTGAACGTCGACCGTTGACGACGTATCACCGGAAGCGAATCGCGACGTCAGCGCCACATTGCGGCGATCAGCGGCGTCACGCCGCCCGGCGACACAGGCCGGCTAACTGCACCGCGATAAAAAATATTTCCGCGCGATTTCGCGCCATTGCAAAATATATATATACCAACTATGACCTACGACTATAGCTGCGTTCCGATATTCACTGCAAGACTGAAAATCTATAATTTACGTCACGTACACTATAGATTCTCAGTACAGGTAGTGAATATCGAAAGATCGAAACGCAGTATGTCAGCCTGTATACATATGTAACTGATGTATACAGTGCTAATGAACTGTCATAACGATGAGATGATGCAGTCAGATGCAATTGCAAATTTTAACTTTTCGAGTTCCCGAAATGGAAATTGATAAAAGAGCGAAATAAGATTTTTGCATTTGCAGAACTTAAGCTTGCTTTCTATCGTGCTTTCTATGTGCGTGACACAGTGTATTGGAATGAGATGACCAAGCATTCAAAAGCCGTCAAAAAATTTTAAAGATATGTAATCGTACACGAGCGTAGCAGAAGCAAAATTATTTACATCTAGAGAGGAAAGAGCTTTTTGCTGGCTTTATGTCAAAATGGGAAAAGCGATCAATGGTAATTTCATTGTATCACTTAAGACACACGCACTCTTCCATCAAATGAATTCTCCAAATTAATTTTACTATTTTTCCAGCAAATTCAATGGAGATGCGAAATGCTTTGGAATTGATTATTGTATTGCTGCTTTTCGATATTGCAGCTTCGATTTCGTCACCATCAGCATTCTCCCCGATCGTCATCAAGGCTGACTACGATCAGCCAGAAAAGAATATCACAAATTCTACTGCTGAATATGTGTTTTTGTATCGTGCCGCCGATGTAATTCTCGATGAATCTAATTCTTGATCACATAATTGTATACTTCATCGATTTATTATTAAAACTAGACACATGCTTTTAGATATCTCTGGAAACTGCAAAGATAGAAATAGAAAGTAACGCAACGCACAGATTTCCATTGATAGTAATAGTGCGTCAAACAACAGGTATTCTATCTTGGCAAATACCTTTACTAGTCGATGGCACAGATTCTATAATATATAATAAAACTAGTCGAATTCTGTGCTCAACGAAATACTATCGATACGCGCCAAAGAATAAAGAGGAATATGTCATTGTTGGTATCTCTACAGCTAGTCCTGAGAATATCTTCTTTGAACTCAATGTAGTGAAAGTAGAGGACTTTTATTTAAGGTACATACAAATAAAATTGATTGGGAAATGTATGAAATAATTGTATGTTTGCTTCTTTATAATGTTTGATCTTTTACAGTTCGGGAAATAAGACAATAATAGAGATCTCTCCATCCGAGCCTATATATTATGGTTACATTTTCTCGAAACAAGCGGATAATTCCTCCGTTATTGTTCGCGTCGAATCGGACAATGATATTTGTATGACTGTGTCTATACAAAATACATCAGTGAGTCGTAAATGATACTTTTGCTGAAAATAATGAAATGATATAAATTTTCATTTCTTTTTTTTCTCTTGCAGTGTCCTGTGTTTGATTTAGAACGAAACATCGAGCTTTCTGGACATTGGCAGACTGTAAGTAGAAGAGGGGGCATTACGGTACCGGTGAGTAATATGTAAGATTATACGCGTATGATCTTTTTCTAGGCATATATTTTATATATATTCGCGATGTAACATAGAATTGATATACTTGCTGCAGAGAGAGGCTTATCCTTCAGGATTCTTCGTCGTACTCGTCGTTAAAGGGGAAGATACGGATTGCAACGGGACATCCGGTAATAATCCTCTTCGTAGGAAGAACGTTACGTTAATTATTAATCCTACCATCACCGAACGAGATTATATCATTGCTACGGCATCAGCTGGGGCAATTGCATTGTGTTTTTGTATCTTTTATATAACGGCTGTGATAGTGTTCAATATCAGAAAGAGCAGAAGGTTTATACAAGAACCAATAAATGAGCAAAACGAGGATATTAACGATCACGCGCCGAGTCCCTCGATGACGGGAGAGGTAATTAATATCAAAGAGACTTAAAGTATGAAAAGAAAACGATAGATATATATGTATATTTTTTGTATATATTCCTAATAATTTAAGTGTGTGTGCACATATGCGATCAAAACATTTCATCACAGGTCAGGTCGAAGAAATGGGATTCTGTGGAGGAAGATTCGTCCCTAGACGAGGACGACATAGATCTAATGGAGGATGCTCTCTCCGATAAGGATGTAATACGAACAAAGATCGTTCTCTCAGTCTGCGATCTCGCTCGCAAGGAACCGCGGATATTGCGGCACAAATCTCGTTTATATCTATATTATTTGGCAACCGTCGCAGTGTTTTACACGCTGCCGGTTGTCCAATTGGCGATAACGTACCAGCGTGTGCTTCATACCACCGGAAATCAAGATATGTGTTACTACAACTTTCTGTGTGCCCATCCGCTAGGCTTGCTGTCCGATTTTAATCATGTATTTTCGAATTTCGGATACTTTTTACTAGGCTTACTATTTATATTTCTAACTTATTCTCGAGAGCGTAACGAGTCGGAGACGGATATGACTAAATGTTACGGCATACCGCAGCATTACGGTCTGTTTTACGCGATGGGCACGGCATTGATAATGGAAGGCATATTGTCGGCAAGTTATCACGTGTGTCCTAGTCGTAGTAATTTTCAATTTGGTAAGTAGCAATAGGAAAATATGTATATTTTCTTTCGCATCGTCTTTTATCTGTCATGTCGTTAACCGACATCGTTATCTGTTTTACAGATACCAGCTTCATGTACATAATCGCGGTGCTCTGCATGCTCAAGATCTATCAAAATCGTCATCCTGATATAAATGCCAGGGCACCGGTGACATTTGGAATTTTAGCCCTTATTATATTCGTAGGATTAATCGGAGTTTTGAATGGTTCCACGTATTTCTGGGTGATATTCAGCATCCTGCATTTACTCATATGCTTTATTCTGACTGTACAGATATATTACATGGGACGATGCAAATTCAACAGAGGCGTTTTTAACAGAGTAATACAGGTATGTTTCCTTTCTCTAATATTCTGTAACCGCTGCAAGACACTCGATTCTATCATTCTGCAGACATTCAAACACGACGCGCGTTGTGGTATATGGCATCTACTCCGACCTCTCTATCCCGCCAGATTCATAATGCTCGTGCTAGCGAATTTATGCAACGTGGGACTCGCGGTATTCGGAAATATGTATCACGAGGGCAATTTCGCTACGTTTTTACTAGCTATACTAATGTCTAATTTAATTTTATACACCTTCTTTTACATAGTGATGAAGGTATGTACATTTTCCTCTCTCTATATACAATATATTTTTCTTGGTCTCTTTTATGATTCCATATGAGAAGTCAATTTGAACTTTTTAATGCCCATTCATACATAAATCTTTTCAGCTCTGCCATAGAGAACGGATTCTTCTCATGCCCGGAATATATATCTTCTTATCCATGCTATTTTGGGGAGCAGCTCTGTACTTCTTTGTGAATAAAACTATATCCTGGGCTCTTACGCCAGCCCAATCTCGTCTGTATAATAAACCGTGCGAATTATGGAATTTTTTTGATTCTCACGATATTTGGCATTTTCTTTCAGCGTTAGCAATGTTCTTTTCGTTTATGGTATTACTTACTTTAGACGATGATCTAACAGATGTACATCGTAGCCAAATACCAGTTTTTTGAGAATTTCTTTTTTATATTTTTAAATTATATGTATAATTTTGTAACTTCTTTTTACAAAGCTTTTAAATATATACAATGTATAGTTTACTTGGATAATGTTATCACAATTGTATAAAACATATAAAAAAACTCTTTCTCTTGTGATAGAAACGCGCCATAATTATTGTCTGTACGAAAGGATCGCGCATGATATTGGAAGTAGAACGAGTAAACGTATATAAATGCATACGAAATTCTATATAAGTTTTCCGTTATAACTAAAGTATATAACAAATTTTTAAATCGAAATCTTTCGATGGCGCCTTTTTTATAGGATATGATAAAAAGTTTTAAAAAATTTATAAATACACATCTTTCACATAAAATGTGAAAAAGAAAAAAATAACATTCGAATTGTGCTCTTGTTGCATATATCATAAAACATTGTTATGCGAGCATATTGTTTGTAAAATATTACAACCGCGTTTCCTTCGAAAAATGTGTGTAAATGTGTGCGTGTGCGCGCGCGTGAGTGTAATTATACATAGAATACCGTATTTTAATAACGCATGTTCTTCCAGATATATATATATATATATGTATGTATATGTCTATATGTATATATATATATGTATATAGTGTCTTATCATCAAAAAACGTTATAACCAAGGAATTAAAAATTAAAAGATAATGTGTGTGTTAAGATATCATGCTATGTTGTCATAAAAAAAAAATAAATAATATAAGATACTAATTGTGTAGTTTATAATAACTCATTATACAAATCTGTATATATTTCCAGACTGCGACGAAAGTAACATAGCTGAAAAAACATGCGATAATTTGGGAATCTCAAATCTCTCGTCACATTATAATGTAAGTATAATCCATAAACTCGTCACGGTCACACAATGGCAGTGACGCGCTCTTTTTATCGAAATTTGAAAAATTCTCTCTCTCTTTCTTTTGAAAAAACATTTACTTGATTATTAACCCTCGATAACAGGAAATATTTGTGAAAACTGATACGAATTAATGTACGTCTCTGATGATGAATTGTACTATTAACGAGCATTTAATAAGCTGGAATGAATTAAGCATGCGGCAAATACGCTTACACGCGAAACACACTCAGGACAAAACGTCCGTGTCCTGGTGCTCTTGCCCCGTTGTTTCCAACTGCGATAAAGTTCTCTGCAACTCTGCTCGTTCGGCTGGTTGTAATCTGTGCGCAATTTCCAAAACTGCGTTCAGTCTAATCTCCGGATAGGTGTCCAGAGCCTCCTTGATACGCGTCACCACCACGTCTCTCTTCACGCACATTATATTACGCGACACGACACTATCATCCGTTTTACGTTGTGCCTCTAACCAACAGGTCGCGGCCTCATCTTGATCCCACAAGTACGATTCCGTCGTTCCCTTGTCCTCGATAAACCAGCGTCGCAACATTGCTCCCATTTGCCTGACATCAAGACTCGGCTGTGTCGATAAGATCTCGTTCTTAACTTCCTCTTCTAGAAGCCTGCGTCGTAATCGCCAGTAAAATAACCGACGCGCTTTCTTCCATGGTATTATCTCTTGAATCGTGTTCTTCTCAAACATTCTCTCCGGCGTGTCATGTAAGTCGGCGAAATGAATGGCAACTTGACGATACATTGGCTCCAGAATGTTCTCGCGTTTACGAATCTGTGCTTCGAGCTCGATTCGTTCCTCCGTCGTATTAACAGTTGACAATTTTTCCTAAAAAAATACATACACGTTATATAAACGAGTTTGACTTTACGCAAAGTCGTTGTATTTACCTTTAGCTTTTGTATAACGGAATCGACTCTATGCATAGTTTTCACAATGTCCTTGTTTCGAAATTTAATCTCTACAATCGCGTCGGCTTCCAAGATGCCACCTCTGCTGGTATTGTCGGCAAACATCTCCATAAATCGAGGATTTATCATAGGATCCACGACTGCCCAAGCACCACCTCTGAGCTCTCCATTCGGCGGGATATAAACGAATATCGGCTTGTCATATTTCCGCAGCCCGTCGACAATGTACGCGCCGAACTTGACAATTTGCTCGTACATGTCTATAAGAGAGAGAGAGAGAGAGAGAAAGAGTGAGCAAGAAAATGATGAAGCGATTGTAAGAATTCATCGAATGACGATCAAAAGATCACCTTTCATGCCTCCGGAGAAGCCTCTCCAATTAGCAAAGATAAATAGCGGTAGCTCCTCCTTTCCGAAATCTTGGATAGCCTGTGCAGTTTTGTACGCGCTGTCTGGGAACCAAACCTGTCCCGCTTGAGATATGGTCTTAGCTTCGGAATCCAGATTGGCGGGATCGGCCGGCAAATGCAGTTCGACGGTCCTCGTTTCGACGGCGATAACGCCGCACGGTATACCACCGAGCCTGGCCCGTCCGGTCACCACCGTTTGCGCCCATGGCCTCATTATTTCCTAGTCGTAGAAGACAAAAGCGAGTTAACGACACGAAAATTTGCTACAAAATGCAAGAAATAAGTACTCACGTGCCAGGAGCCTCGGTCGAAAAAGCCGCTCTCCCAAGCATTCGATTCGTTGCAATATCTGCCTTCTAGCATCCATCTCGGATCGTAGGCCGTTTTCGTGGGCATATAAGCAATTTCACGATCGATCGGGTCCATAACGGGTAATAGTATCGGTAACGGGGCACCTTTGCTTCTGGGGAAGTAAGTGAGCCACTTCAAGGCGGTCGCTACTCCGTCCAAGTCCCGGGCGTCGGTCGCATGAGACACCCCATTGTTGTGCATAATCTGCGTGCCACCCAACTGATTGTTGCTGGCGTAAACCTCGCGACCCAGTACGGTGTTCAACGCTCGGTAACCGGTTAGAATAATGTGCGAGTTCTCGATCTGTATCACCCTCTGGCCGAGACGCACTAGATAAGTGCCGATACCAATCGCGCGGCACGACACTATAGAGATTGTAATTATCTCCTCGTAGGCCCGCGACGTTTCGCCCGCGATCAGACCGGCGTATTTGAGATTCTCCACTCCAAAGCCGTCGTCCTTGCCGATAATGTCTGTAATCCTGTAACGGGACTCGCCCGCGGGATCTTCGATCAGTGAAGCTTTCACCGAATTAAAAGACGCTAGGCGCGCGTAATCATCCGGCGTAAGATATATATATTTGAAGCCTTTCTCCGGCTCGTTTTCCTCTTCCCACGCGATTCTGAAGAGGGCCTTTACTTCCTCCGCCAGACCGATACGGGCGCCGGAATTAGCAGCAAAATATATCCGCGGACACCCGAGCTGCCTCGCCTTCTCGGAAGCTCTACAAAACAGCACATCCTCGCGTATTCCGAACGAGCCTATCAGGTATGTGAGATCATTGGCGATGAGTATAACATCCCGACCGAACGGGCATTCCGGGGTATACAGGGTCAACCGCCACGCAATCATGCCGACGTCGTTCTCGCCCGGCAGTCGCTTCTGCTCAACTAATTGTTCCCCATCTAGCACCAACTCCACGATGTCCATTACTGGATTAGGGATAGCAATTGGATTCTGACCATCGTTCAATGGCCTCTCCTCTATATATTTTTGCCATAATTTCTCGACTTGTTGCCGGAATATGTCCGGCAAATCGTAGACGTAAGTCGTACCGGCGCTCTGCGCCTGGAATCTCTTTGCCTGAAGATAATCTTTGGTTAGATACGGCGTGGAGATCGGTAGTCCGTGCATAGGACCTGGCCTCCAATTCGCTGTATTCACCGTTGTGGGCAGATAAGACTCGAAACGGATGATACCCGTCTTGGGATCGGTGGCCTCCGTGTAAAGATGCAAATCCATGCTGTATCCGCTGTCGTTGGCGATACAAAGGCGCACGTTAGAGGTCGGTTTTCCCGGTGCGGGCCGTATGGTCATCTTGATCTCCGCCTGTCGTACATGCAACTTCCACAATCTCGGCCCGTATCGCAACACCATACTAGTCACACTCTCCTCTATTCTATTCGGATCCATAATGACCGTGGGTACGAAATTCAAGAAGATATGATTACACTCTGTGCGTTTCGCGAGAGGATGCGAGAACGCGACCTCCAATTCGTCCATAGCCTCGAGCAAAACGCGTTCGCCTTCATTGTGAAGATAATCGAAACTCGCTTCCTTCGTGATAAGATCAGAATGCCGTATAATCGAGCGAATGAAGAAACGATAATCGGTAACCTGCTGGCCCTTGGCAACTTTGGCTTTGCCGAGATACAGATGCATCTTCTGATTCGACGTCGGAAGCGCCTCGAGATCGTACGTTCGCATACGATTTAATTCTAATTGAAAGGCGCAACCGGGCTCGAGATGCCGATAGATCCTGTCCTCGACGAAACCCTCTCGCTGACGAAAGGTGAAGAACTTGGGGAATTGTCTCTTCTTGAGCACGGTGAACGTTACTCTACGGATGCCGCGGGATATCAACTCGTCTTTGTTGTTAGCGCACCAATCTCCAAATAATCGAGACATAGTGGCATCATCTTCGGTGCCACTCTCCTTGACCGCGATACTCAATATGTGAACCGGTTCGGTGGTCTTGTCGTTGGTCGCCGCCGCCACGGTCGACGTTATTCCATCCGTTGCCATGCTCAAGGACACATTGATGGACGTGCTGTGCCGCGACTCGCTGCCGACAGCGTCCACCGCCTCTAATAATTTTGTAGATATTACCGGTGAAGGACTCGACAGATCATCCAACAGATCTAAAACCTCATCTGCATATTGAGTGAATTGCTCGAGATCCTGGAATGCCACCATCGCGCCGGCTCTATAATCCACCAAAGATTGATTCTGACGATTCGGATGATTACTGGGTAAAACGAATTGGAAATATACCAGCGGAATCTCGCCGGATAGCTCCAGGTGTTGCAAACACGTGAATTCGTAACTAATGTAAGCCCGTCGAACGTAGACCTCCAAGGCGGCGTTACACACCGCACGGTTAGTATGATAGAAGAAGTCATGAAGAATATCAAAGATGGACGTTTCCGAAAGAATGAGCTTCTGCAAATTCTCTGGATGGAAATCGTGCCCATACATATCCACTGCCGAGAGAAATATCGATTCCATTTGATTGTGTCTGAGCTCGTAGGCGGGTTGATGGGCGGCAATCAACACTTGTCTGGCTCTCAGCGCGACTCGACTGTGTTCCGTGCGATTCAGGCTAGTCAGTTCGGTCAATGTGTTCGAGAGCTCATCGGTAAGACCGGGCTCGTTGGCCCATAGATGATCGATCAGCATAGTGACTAAGACATTCTTCTTCGTCACTTGATTGTGACTGAAAATCATACCGGTGACGGTCGCCACATCGTCCTTGTATTTCTCTATCAGCGCGGAAACGCATTTGTCATAATGACCCTGCTGGAACTGGCTCTCGACCATGTAATACTGTCGCAGTAGTTCGTGCACGGCGGTCTTCATTCGACCGCGTATACCATTTCGATATCTCTGTACCAGTTGCACGATGGCTTGAGTCGTCAAGAAGAATACATCGCGTTCGGCTCTCTTGGACAAAGTCGCCGCATGTCCGTCGATCACGGCTGCGATTTGTTGACTAGGAAACTGGGCTAAGATCGACGTGATGTTTCGCTCGTACAATGACATCAATTTACGAATCTTCTTCTCCACCGAGATAGGGATCCTGCCGGATATTGTTGCAATCACCTCCTGCAATTCCAGCAACGGTAAGTTGGGATCGCGCAACGAACTCATGAATTTTTCGATTAGCTCCCGCAAACGTGGCAAGTGGAACGGATCCGGCAGACAATATCCAGCCAATGTATTTTCCAAAGCGGTTCGATATTTGGCATGAAGATGGTTCAATTTCTCCGGTACGGCGAGCGTCGCTGCCGTTGGGAACGGTCCCGTATATTCTTGCGCTTTCGTCACCAGCGATGGATCGTCCAGTTCGAGATGCGCTATCATGGTACCGGCTTCCAGTATAGCGCCAGGTCGCTTCACGTAAAAGATGCTACCCGCTTCGCTGACAGTAACGGTCATGACCATTTTCATCACTTCGATTTCGGCGTACGCCTGACCGGAGCCCACATGGCCGCCGTCCTCGACCAAAAAATTGATTAGCTTGCCGGCCGATGGTGATCTCAATAAGGATGGGTCGTTATCCTTTTCAAAAATGCATGTCTGATTTCCCAACATGATTCTATAACGATCCACCTCCTCCCGCATATAAGTCGTGAGACTCGCACCGTCCAGTGAAAGCAGCAAACCTCCATCCGACATGCGGTGAATCTCCACTTCTTTGTAAGAACCGTTCATCACGAGGAAATAGCTATTGGGACCGGATTTGGCAGCTTGTACTTTGTACTTATATCCATCGTTGATAAGCTCTACCTGCGACATATAGTAATGAAATATTTGAAAAAAAGTATAGCCCCCCCCCCCCACAACATAAAATCACTTTCGAAAAGTTATCATTGTGCATTATTCGACCAACATCGAGCAGGAACTTACATCAACAACGTTGTCTAAATCGTTGCTAGCCTGTATTTGGCCCTTTTCTAAGGCCGTTTGAAATCCGGTGAAAGCGGCCGTGATCGTTCTATCGGCGATATGAAGCGCTCCGCAGGTGACAGCCAGTAAAACGTCCGGTTTATCGCTGCGAACACGTTCCGCGATCAGTAGGTCGAGCCAAGCGGTATCTATGTTATTCTGTTGAAAGGATTCCGTTTCCAGAAGAGTGATGAGATATTCGACTGTGGTCCTAAAATCGCCCCTGATACTTAATTCTTTTAGGGCTACGACTAAATTTTCTCTAGCCTGAATGCGGTCTTCGCCCCACGAGAAGCAATGGCCAAATTGCGAGTCAGCGAACTCGTGAAGTCCCCCCGAAGCGCCGACCGAGAAATAGCCCCATACGTTCTTGGACGATCGAAAATTCAATTCTTGCACCGTGCCGGAACTTGGTTTAAAGCCTAAAAAAATCCAAGCCAAGTTGTAATTTATATACAGGATCATATGCTAAGCGTAAAGAAGAAGTGATCTTACCTTCGTCGGGATTTTCGCTGGTGATTCTAGCTGCGATTACGTGACCCCAAGGTTGAGGCTTGTGACGTGGCTGGTCAAAGTCAATCGGGCTGTCGCCCCAGGGGCTTTCGCCATACAAAAGACGTATATCCTTGATGTGATGTAACGGTAAGCCCATCGCTATTTGTAATTGGGCCGCTGGCAAGTTCACATCCGACACCATCTCGGTGCAAGGATGTTCCACTTGAAGACGCGGATTCAACTCCAAGAAATAATATCTACCGGCAGTGTCGTATAGATATTCTACGGTACCCGCGCTGACATATCCTACCATTTTTGCTAGTCTCACAGCGGCCTGTAGTTCGGACAAATCAATAGCGCAATCGATCAAAGTCATAATTAATGCCAAGATCATAATTAACGATAATTATATACCTTTTCCATCTCTTCAAAAACCTCCGACTTAGCAATCACGGCCGGCGCCTCCTCGATAATTTTTTGGTGCCTCCTTTGGATAGAGCAATCGCGTCCAAACAGCGATATCGCGTTACCATAATTATCAGCTAGTAATTGTACTTCCAAGTGACGAGCACATTTGGCCAGCTTCATGATAAATATCGGCGAGCCGGGTATTTCAGTCTGCACTTGTCTAAACATTAGAAATCCTTGCAATGAAAACAGATGTAAAAAAATCCTTCTCAGCGGCAACTTTGACGTTTACCTGAATAAGACGGGTAACTCCTCGGCGTTTTCAACTTTCCTGATCCCTTTACCGCCGCCACCCTCGCTCGCCTTCACCATGACCGGGAAGCCAATCTTGTTTGCCGCTGCTAGACATTCCTCTACAGTGGCGACGCATCCCTTTTTGAAAAGTTCCGACGATATCTTAATCTTCTTTCCGCTATAATGCGCTGTCAAGTCCGATCCTGACCAAGGAAGGGTCGGCACGTCCGCAGTTTGAGCGACTATACTGGATGCGATTTTGTCACCTAAAGCCCACATGGCTCTCTCGGACGGTCCTGCCGAGGAAATGTGAGAAAGTGTAAGTGTGCTACGATTAAACAATTAAAATATGCTATAACTGCGCGAATGGTATAGCGAACTGCTACGAATATATTAAAAGTTCCGCAGGAAAATTGTGTCACGGTACGATCGATCTTATAGTTTCTTGTACAACATTTGATATAGCCAAAGAGAGAGCGAAAGAGACGCGTTTCTCTTTTTCATTAAAATTTGATTTGTTATATCTTTTTTTATACCAATAAAACAGATGTTATTTTTGTGGAGCAGTTCCGGAAGTTTCGGATTTTCCGAAGCGTGGCCCCATCCGGCCCAAACTGCATGGACCTGAGTACGTGTCGCGATATCGACGATTAGTTCCACGTTAGCGTAATTGTTGTTGTTGCTCCCACCCGGTACTGGCACGTACTGGTCTGCCATTTTGATGTACTCCGCGTTCGCCTTTAGATCTTCTGGCGTGACCATCACTACGAAACGCACGGCCCTCTCGTTCTTAAACATCTCGTACGACCAACGTCGAATCGATCGCATGCATTTAACCGCCGCGATACCATTGTTGGCGATCAGCACCTGAAAACAATCCAACGTAAAGATCCGAGGTAGTAGCGTTGATGCTTGACAGTTCTCTTCGCGCTTTAGGCTGCTCTGAATGTTATTAGGGTCTACACTTTACCTTGTTGATAATCTTGGTGCCTCCGAAACGATGGACGAACTCTTCAGGAGTCGCGATAGTGAAATCCTTCTCTTGAAGTCGATTTGGCGTTTGAATCATCACCGTGCCCTGCGACATGCTGGGCCTGTCAAAACACATTTTTGTATAAGTATGTATCTATATTACCATAATTTTTTCAAATTATATATAATTAAAAGAATATTTATATATAGATATATAAATATTCTAATTAAGATATATAAATATAGATGTATAAATGTAAATTAGAATATTATATACATAAATAGAAATATACATATATAGATATATTTCTATCGCGAAATTACATAAATATTGTTGTTATATACATGTAATATTTTGCATTTATTACGAGCAGAAACATTTCATATTGTCAAAAAATATGACTGGCATAAAGTATGTCGATCAATCGCTTGTCTTTCTTTTTTTATACAATTGAATAATCAATTCAATTGATTGTCTGGCGATTATTTTTCTCGCAGCATCGATTAAAATTTCCTTTTTTCTCGAGACTCGCTTGTTGGTCTATAGCGCTTGTTCGTGTACATCCGCAAAGTAAAATGCGATTACGTTAATCCTAAAGCTGACAGATGGTTCGCTTTCTCATCTTCCGTGTCGTCCACATCGGGCTCGCCGTTCTTCGCGTTTATGCTCGTTTTAGACGCAACGCGCATCAACAGATTGTCCGAGCTCTTCCAGTTTTTATCCTTCTCCGTATTTTCCGCCAAGACGAATCTCTTTATTCGCTTCATCGCGACTCAAAACAGATCCGAATATTCAAGATCCAACGCCGGATATTAACAAGCAGGCGCGAAATCCAGGATAATAACCGGATAGTTTCTCGCACAACTATCAAACTAGTATGAAATTAACTTGACTTTGCTTTTCGCTTATGTAAATAATACGAAAGATCCGACAAAGATACGGAAATATTAAAATTTTTTTCTAACTTGTAATCAGTACAACCCCTTGGGATATATAAATAATCTCGTAAACTATCTCGAATTTTACACGTGTGTTCGATTGTATCTTATGTACGTAATACTACAATCATATTATCTTTATGTCGTCGTAAAACATTACCGCTCTAGTCATCATCGACATTGCAAAATTTTTCATTGCATAATTAATAATATTGTAAAAAAAAGAATAGCGAGAAGAAATAAAAAAATTTTTGTAAAATTGACAGGAAAAAGTCGCGCGCAATGAAATAAGCGAAACGAGTTATTTTGTCCCGATAATAGACGCGAAATAGCCAAAGAATAATTTTTAAGCGTTATAAGAACGATAATTCGATTTTTTTTTTTAATATGGAACGCCAGTCTCATATGGCGATATCTCTTATCGTTTCGTTAGTTGTCGTGAAAATGCGGAAATTATTTTTACATCGCACCACGTACAAGCTTTACACTCTGTTTGAATTGCAAAATTCTGTCTTCTACGAAGAGAATGAAAAATAAAACAAAACAAAAAGGAACGATAGAACGAAATGAACAAAATGAACGAATACGTAACACTTGTAGCTTTGACCGTGTCGTTAGAAAGGCAAATCTTCACTGACGTGTGCAAGTTTCCAATTCACTATCCTTCCGCAAGAATTCCCCTTCCTTTGTATGCGTGCTATTTAAGAATATTTATTCTTATGATGCATTTTTGTTTTTGCTTATTGTTTGTCAATCTTAAAGCAAGAGGAATGTATGTCAACCGCTTAAGTTGACTTAATTAGTAAAGGTTTTTTTCTTTCCGTAATCATTGCGTGACGTAGTGCGAAAAATATACACGCACACATATATGTTTCCTTTCAATATATTTGCGACGTTTATTAGATCCCTTATTAAATTACTATATTGTACATATAAGTTGATCTGAAATATCTCCGTTATTTTTAAATATGGAAATACGAGAAGAAACTGTTCGATTCGAAAAGACGAATATTAATAAATTTTTTTAGTCATGATTTTCGAGATTTCTCGAAGGGGTCACTGACATTTTATTTTAAATAAAAAAACTAATTTTTTAAATCGATTTTCTCATATTAGGAAATTATCGAGATATTTGGATAAGGTAAAAAGAAGCGATAATTTATAAGATATGCTTGATACAGATTGTTATATGTATAATATCTCGGAAAATTTTCGCACATTTTTTCGCCGATTTTACTTTCAGTAAGGTGTAATAAATAAATCTGTATTAAACGTACAAAATAAGACAATATGCACCGGCATGCACGTTTCATTATGCAAAAGAAAAATTTGCATAACGACACGTTATATCGATGCGATAAATGTGACATATCAAAACTTGCTTATCAAGTCACTTGTTTATTCGCGCATATACACGAAGCAAAAAAAAGCTGTCGTCATCAATTATATATTAAAGCGAAATTTATGAAGGTCTTGAATCTCTTTTCATCGCAATCTTTCCTTTGAATCTCTCATACGATCGTTATGTTACGCATGTTTATGTTAAAACGATAATGAATAAAGATTACGAATTCGTAAACTGCTGTTACGCTGTCCCGATTTAGAAGACTCGAAGCTAAAATGTATAGGCTTATGTTACATAATATTTTCTCTGTCAGCGATATCTCGTACATTCTTGGACAAACAAGGAGACGACGCGATTTTTCGATTCGATTTTCGTCTTTCGCTTTCCCGAAAGCTGTCTCCGCTTTTTCTTTAACGAAGATATATGTATATACATCAATGGTTGTGTCCCATTTACTTTATTAATAGACTTGCGTAACTGTATATAAAAAAAAATATGGAAGAAAGCAACCTCTCTCACTTCGCGCGTTATCAGCTCTTCAGCTTTTTCGGAATATCTTGTGATGCGATAATCACTATAAGGTCAAGTCGAATTCGCATCGTAATCCGTCAAAATAAAATATTTATAATTTTTTCGCGATTTATCTAAATGCAAACGCAATAACGACTTTGAGAGGACGCGCACACAATGTTATTCTTGTGAATTTCTGAAAAAAAAAAAAAAAAAAAAAAAAAAAATATTATTTTTCGAAAAGTAATTGCTAATTTCTAAATGCAAACGCAATAACGACTTTGAGAGGACGCGCACAAAAGAGTTGTTTTTTGGAATTTCAAAAAAAAAAAAAAAAAAAAAAAAAAAAAAACAGAATCATTTTTCTTAACACTGAATAGAAACCTCTATAATCGCGTGGAAGCATGTTTGAATATTCAAGAGTTCAGTGTCATGAGGTCGCAGAAGTGAAAAAGATTACAGTGCCAAAAAGAGAGAATATACATATATCCACGTCGTTCTTTTCTTCTCCTCCCCCCGTACCCCCTCGCTTCGTCAATTCATTAAATATAGCGATGCTTACGCTCGCGCGTTGCGTAAGCCTTGCATAAAGTTTACGGATTTTCGGCGATATCACCCCGATATTTGAGATTTATCTAGATAGTGGAAACAACGTATCGGACACGAGCGAGCACTGCGAGACTTATGAAGTAAGCTCTTCTTGAGGGATCTTTATCTCAATCTTCCTCAATCCTTGTCCAAAGAATCCGTAACGGAATATGACAGAAACACAATCACCTGAGACGTTTACGTCGCTCTACCAGTCCTGGCATGACATTGGTTTGCGACTGCATATTGACGCTATCGCTCCCCTCGCTCGGGAAGCTATCCTCGATCTCCTGCACCTCGCTAGGATCGGGATCGGGATCGGGCTCCCCGACGACAAAGCTCACCGGTGCCTCCGACATCTCTCTCGCGCGAACTGACCCCGGGGAAGGACCGACACAGTCGATGATCTCTTGACTGGAATCTCCCGTCGAAGAATCGGACTCCGTTCTTTCCGCGCTCACCGCGTCGTTACCTTCAAAACACACAATCGCCAAATATATGCCCTTGATACGTTCGATAGAGATCGAACGACTCGAAGATGACTTGCAACGTTGCTTTGAAGATGACAAAATATTCCCCTTGAAGAGGGAAAGGAAAGAAGAAGAGCGTACATATCCCGTGTCTACCCCTCGTTTAAAAAGCGAGAAAATACGAGGGTAACGTAGACACGTTGCGTGCACGGCAGGAGATGAAGTATTGTATGTTAAAATACGAATTATAAATGACAATTTAATTTTGAAGAAATACCGAAAAACAGAGAGACCAGAAGACGACGTAACATACAGCCCAGCTACGTTCCTCGCGCCGTTTCTCCTCTTACGTTGTAATGACACCTAAGAACGGAGCGCGGATGCGGTTCCTTCCTCCAGATCGAGCTGTGTCGGAGGATCACCGAATTAAGGAAGGTCCAAGATTGAATCGCGCGCGATGCACCGACTCGCCGTGAGTGTTCAACTCGGAACACGTTGTTGCAATAAAGCTACTGTATACAGTGGCGCGGTATCATATGAGTAGACGCGAGCTGAGTGGACTCAAGCTGAGTTCAAGGGTCGTTACGTCACGTCGCCATCGATGTCACGACGGTCCCGCCAATCCCGAGGTCATACGATGTATTCTTCACACGCGACTTCTTCGTGCTGTATCGATGCCAATCGAACTTTATGACCTTTTGAAAAGAATCCCAAGCCGATCAATCACCTCGCAGAAAATAATCTCCTTTATATCTATCTTTTTGCGCTCGAATCAACCAACATCGGGCAGAGCCATGCTCGCGTTCGTTTCCATCTACAATGTAAATACATCTGAGTGTGTCTCATATTTATTCCACCTTCAAGGACTGCAAACGCAATCGTTCTTAAACGTAGAAAAAAATACCACGCAGTGCACACTGGGCAGTCTGTGACGTGCGACGCGTAAATTGTTTCAAATCTTTTAAAAATAGCAATTTATTTCACAAAAAATAATCTATATGCTTAATTTGCTTAATGAAAAACGAAAACTTTAATCGCCTGCATATTTATGCAAATGAAAATCAAAATCAGTACACTCAAAAAAGTGGTATTGCAACTACAGCAAAAATTTTCTGGGTGCGCAAAATTAACTGAGGTACATAAATGATTAGCAAATACTGTGATATCGCATATGTTTCGCATTTAATCAATCTAAGTGACAGAGACAGAATTTATATCTGAACTGTTTGTGAAATTTAGAAAGAATGTTTTTCTGTGGCGCCTATCCATGTTAAGGCCAATCATACTTGTTATAAAGTTTGGCTGTGGTAGACAGAAAAAATTAGCGGCAAGAAACAAATGAATATATAATCCTCACGTCTAACATATTTGTATAACGCGCTCAATCTATCTAGCTCTTTTAAACAATTTTTCTCAATTTTTCGATGCTGCAGTTATAATTGGCAGTTATATTTCTCACAAAGATCGTTCTGTAGTATCGAAACTCATATTTATCCAATGCAGTGATTAACATTTGGCAATGGGACCTAAATTTTCTAGAAGATATTATTAGAATGTTGCTGCTATAAATTCTATATGTAACAGACAATATTCTAACAGATACAAAAAATAGCGATAAATTTTTGTTGTGACACCTAGAAATCTACCTATATCAGCAAGACATTTTTTTGAGTGTAGGATACATAATGTTCTATGTGAAAATGGATATTTGATTCCTTTTGATTAAAACGAATAGAATCGAGAACTCTTGCGCATGCGTATTTTTACGTAAATATTATCGCTTACCAAAATGACAATCCATTATAGATAGCTTAATAGCTCGTCAATTTAGCACTTTATCTTTCAAAGAAAAAAACAAAGATAAAAGAATAGAGAATTAATACTCCATCTCTAGATTCGTGTACTCGCGTGACATTTCCACTTCTCGATAATCTACCCTCCTTTTGCGAAAAACTCTATCGAGGAGAATTGCGTGTATGTACATACATACATACATACATTTCAAAAAGCATCGCGCGGTGTTTATATAGATTTTCGTGAAACGAGGCTGTCAAAAAAAAAAACAATGAACGGGAAGCGGTGATTGGCCGGGCAGAATGTCAGGCGACGCGCCGGCGACGGCGATTGGTCCGCGAGACGCGGCGCGATCTTCAGCTAGTGACGTTTTCACGGATGGAATCTCTCTCTCTCTCTCTCTCTCTCTCACTCTCTCTTTCCATCCCGATACAACGCCTATCTCTCGCATTATTCGAGCACCACGCGATACTAACGCACACATACGTATATACTACATACACGCAGACTCACCGGTGACGAATCTTGCGCGGCGGAGTAGCCCGCTCCTGCTTGAGGTTAGGTTCGTCTCTCCGTTCCTGTTCTGTCATTCGAGTCGCTTCGCTGTCACGTTGGTCTCGGCGAAACTCAGGACGTTGCCACCGTTTGAATATTTGTTTTAATTAATTTTATTTTTTTTTTTTTTTTTTTTTTCACGAATCGATCACTGGGCGTTTTCCTGGCGAGGACTGACGAGTTTTGCTGTTTCACCGTGCGATTCTAACTTTTTTTCCCTTCCACACACACGATCGCTATCACTGGTTCTCAGTTATACAGAGAAACGCGGAATTTAGATCGTCGCGTGACTTTGCGCTCGTTTTTATCGGTTGTCAAACGCACGTGTCGGGTCTATCTAAGACAGGTGTCGCGAAAACTCAACGAGATGCGATCGCAGTTACTACGCGCGACGACTAGAGGTCAGGTCAGGATTTGACAGGCGCCCTGCGTGAATATTTACGCGTTCCAAACCTCGATCCGTATTCAATAAAAATATCGATATAAGACATCAAACTGTATTCCGCGTCTCGGAAAAGAATATATTTATATCTTAATATAGTAAATATACAGATATATTTCTCAAGAGTTCTCTTCATTTTCTGGTAAATATAACTTTTATTAATTAATCACAGTCTAAGATGACACACACACACACACACATCAGCAATACATTTGTGTGATTTTTCTCCTATTTACTTTTTTAATATTTAAATTATTCTATATATATAATGAATCTTTAATTCGTCAGCATTTATTCTAATCTTGTTATGTCAACTGATGCATAATCGTTGCCTTCTAATCGAGTTTGATATCCCCAGGTTAAAGTCACATCGCAGAGGCGTAGACGCAAGCGTAAATTAAAAGAACCATGGGCAAAAAGTTTGACGAAGATTTAAAATCTTGTGAAATGTTGAGCGTCGCTTTAAGTAGAATCATCAAGCATACCGCAAACAACGAATTTCGAGACCAATGTTTCAAAGTATTGAAGACCGACAGCAGGGTTGGCGCGCAAACAGCACTCGCTGCCAACTTATCATCGATTGTGTCTCACGTTGGCCTGTTTACTCAAGAACGACGGAATACGACGGAAAAAAAATAGTACGAAGAAACCGACAGATGACAAAACCCATTAAACATTTGTTAATCTATAATTATTTTTTTTCTCGTTTGTTTTCTCTCTCTCTCTCTTTAGCGGAGAGATATTACAAAATTTTATAAGTATAACGTTCCATTGCAATATATCAAGAGACGCTACAGCAAACACTCTCTTCTTTAGAAATAATAAATAAATATTTAATATAATGAGAATTTAAGAAAATAACCGTCCCATGTGATTGGCACCAAAGTTGGCAACATTTATGACAGCCGCGTCAAGTTGGATCAGGATTATGCTAGGTCAGGAGTAGGTGGATAGGTAGAAATAGAGATAAGGTAAGGATAGGTAGATATATATACATAGAGGTCGGTGGGTGGGCGGTGCAACGGAAGAAGCGTCTCTGATCGCGGAGAGTCCGGAGAGTGTCGACGAAGGTTAACGCGATCGTCGCGGTGATTGTGCACCGCGTCTCTCGCGATCAGACGGTGATGCGGCGCGGAAGATACGGCCGAGTAATCGGGACGAGGTAGCCGCGCTGGCTGTCTCGACGCCGTCGATATCGCCTCGATAGGTGGCGAGGAAAATGGAGACGGATGGATACGGCTCGGGCCCTCGTATGCGTACATTTCTCTGCGGCCCGCGGTGAAGTATCCGGCTAACAGAGGTTCTCAAATCAGGAGCGGCGTATCGAGTGGGTATCCTGACCTGACGCGTGGCTTTCCCTCGAGTCTGTCGGTAAAGTTGTCGCTGAGCGAGAGTGCGGCCCTGTTTGTAGAGTGGCATCAATCCGGCCGGTCGCGTCGCAATCGCGCCGGCCCCCTCTCGAATTTTATCCTCGTTGGAGCGTGCGCGACGTTCGGGCGTTGGGTGTGCGACTGAAAGAGAAAAAGATAGAGAGAGATCGCTCGTGACATAATAGCTCCGTTATTTCCCCCGTGCGAGAGGATTTGGTCCGCACGCCAGTGTGGCGATCCAAGAAGGAGGAGAGCGAGCGCGAGAGGGGGAAGTTGCGGAAACCCAGCTGTTCTCTCGCAGAGCCTTCGCGGACTTTTGCCGGTGTGTGCGGGGAGAGATCCGATATCATCCTCCGTCCTTTACTCACGGCTTACGTCGCGATGTAAATATATACGCGTCGTATACTGTTTCGAGTCGCGTGTACGCGCGATTCCGCTATACTTTATTACGGTGCAGTTTCGCGAGCCGCTAATCTCGGCATATGGCCGTAACGATTCCGTTTGACGCCAAAAAACGAGGGAGACTTGCCTCAATCTTGAGATATTAAAAGCTTAACCCTACTTGTACGTGAATGTGTGTGGTGCGCGCGTGCGTGTATGTGTGTGCGTGTGCTTTTCGGGTTATTGGCACTTTCGCGCGCGCACAGAAAGACGTCCGTACAATAGACTCGCCTTCCTTAATACGCGACATCGCAATTCCGTTGGATCGCTTTTACCTATTAAAATATCAAATGTATTAAAATGGAAACATCTTGTGGAATTGTTGGAAAATGACGGAGAGACCAAATATGTTTATCTCATTTTCGTCGTTTTGCGAAACATAGCTGTAGTTGGAATTTTTTACTTGGAACTTTTTGTTGTATTTTTATTTTTCGCGTGTCTGCGCTGGTTACATCGCATGATAACGCGACAGGCAGTACGTGTATGGCGAGCCATTAGGAAAAAAAAAGGGTCGTAGCCGGATCTCGTCTCCATTCATGAAAAACAGATGTTTCCTGCCGCGAACGTACATACATACTTGCAGATGTACTCGTCGTAGACGTCAGCGTTATTATTTTCTCGTAGAATTTTTATCGCGGTTTTATTCTAATAGTAATAATCTATTATTTGGAAAAATGCATCGTCAAAAAAATAATAAAGCATTGAAAGCGATCATTCTTTGGAAGATGCAGCTGAATCTCTTTAGCGAGTCTTTCATGAAATAATAAAGTTATATTTATTTAAAGAAACTTCAAGAGAAAACATGGCTTGATTGAGAGGGGTGTAAAGGCTGGCTGTCATCGTGGCAAATTGTGTCAAAAGTCTGGATTCCTGTTCTCCTCGTTCTCATTTGAGGCTGCAAAAAATGCCTGGACCGTCGACACAAGAGAGACCTCGTGCTCATCGACTCACAGACATCGAGTCTCAGACAGCTAAGGTTGTATAAGTTTAATATTTTATCTAAAGTATCTCTACATACTCCTAGATCAAATTTGCAATAGAATTCACCACCCAAACTGAATTGTGTTAATCAAGTATAAATGAATCGTAAAATGATAAATTGAAAGATGACTTTTAATGAATCTTTATCCAGCTACAGCTGGATAAATTTGTATGCGCAATATATGTATATCATTTAGTTTGAAAGCTGGCATTGCGTAGACTCGTTGAATTTATTATCCTTTATTGTAATCTTCCAAAGACAATATATTTATGTCAACTTTTTTTTTTTGCGAATGGAATTGCAGGGTCTGAGTGGTAATCTGACGGACGATTTCAGCACACCTGTTAGCTCTGGCAGCAATATGAGTAGTATCGCGCGCTTCCCAAAACTCGACGAGTGCGCTCATTTTCATTACGAGCACGTCGAGCTCAGTACTTTGGAGGTAAGATGCTAAATGCGCGATATACGCGCAAGAATATGATTCAAGATATGACTCGGTTTTCAGGTATCCATTAACGAAGGATCTAGCAACGATTCGGAGAGCTATGACGTGCGGATAACGTCCGGAGATGCGTGCTGGACGCTACAGAGATCCTATGACAACTTTGTCATGTTTGACAAACAACTGCACCGCTGCATATTCGACAGAAAATTCTCTTCTTTAACAAAGCTTCCAGATGTTCGGCCAAAAAATACCTGTGATATACTGAAGGATTACTTGAATCGGTTCTCACAATTGAATCACGAGGGTCTAAACTGTGGTCCAGTGTTGAATTGGTTACAACTCGATAATCGTGGAAGGAGAATCCTGGTGCCAGAATCGGATTCCTGTCCTATAAATACTCCGGCTGTTGCCGCGGCATACGCCGTGAGGCCTTACACCGCTCAGGCACAAGACGAGATCTCCTTCCAGGTAATTTCTTCAGCTAAAACGCTTTTGCTTAGAGCATTGGCTAAATCGCGAACTATACATTACGAGAATGATTTTGGGCGATGACTGATTGAAGCGTAATTTACGTAACAAACAGGTAGGCGACATGATATCCGTAATAGATATGCCTCCGGCGGGAGAAAGTACGTGGTGGCGCGGAAAGCACGGGTTCGCGGTTGGATTTTTTCCAGCCGAATGCGTTGCCGTGATAGGTGATAAGGTACCGCGTCACCTAACAGTTTCAACGACAGTCAGATCGAGATTACCGGTAAAGCCCGTGTTGCGAAAACACGGCAAACTGATCGCCTTCTTCAGATCCTTCATACTGAATCGGCCTTCGAGGAGAAGATTGAAGCAATCGGGCATATTGCGGGAGCGCGTATTTGGTTGCGATTTGGGAGAACATTTGCTAAACTCTGGTCAAGATGGTATAAATTTTGATCGTATTTCTTAGACATATTATATCAGGTCAACCATGAAAAAGAAAAGAAAGCGATTATTTATTTTTCGTAGTGCCTACCGTGCTGACGTGCTGTGCGGAATTTATAGAGAAACATGGTCTGGTCGATGGTATATATCGTCTTAGCGGCGTAACATCCAACATTCAAAAATTGCGGAACGCCTTCGATGAAGATCGGGTTCCAGCGTTGCATTCCGACGAAAGTATTCTACAAGATATCCATTCGGTAGCATCGCTGTTGAAGATGTACTTCAGAGAGCTGCCGAATCCGTTGTGCACGTATCAGCTTTATTCCACTTTCGTTAGCGCGGTTCAAGCTAGCAGCGACGCTGAAAGATTGAGACGTATGAGAGATGCGGTGAGAAAGTTACCGCCACCTCATTACAGGTACTTGTTTCATTTTTCACTTTGTCATTTCTTCGCTGTTTAAATTTACGTAATTTATTTCAAAATTAATTTTTTTGTACACGTGCACAGGACACTGGAATATCTGATGCGTCATCTGGTAAGGGTGGCCGCGCGTGGCTCGGAAACAGGTATGACACCGCGCAACGTGGCCATTGTGTGGGCGCCGAATCTCTTGAGATGCAAAGAACTGGAAGTGGGTGGCGTAGCGGCACTTCAAGGTGTCGGTGTTCAGGCGGTCGTGACGGAATTTCTAGTCTGCTACGCGGAGCTCATATTCGGGGATGGTCCTGTCGGCAGACCAAAGTCATTGGCAATCACCACGTCCGCACGACTGCTCACTCTGGAGGAGGCACGCAATAGAAGCCTCAGGGGTGAACCTGATTATATAGAAGTAGGAGCAGGTCCAGCCGGCTTACCGTTGCGCTATCACACTGTCATAGAGTTGCCTCGCAAGAGGAACGGTTCAAAACGATCACCTTCGCTAAATTGGAGGGCGTTGTTCGGCAGAGGAGCTGTGGGGAAAACGAGACAGATTGGTACGCCGCCGCAAGCGGAAACAGTGCCAAGTTCCTTAAACTCCCTGCGACGATTGAGACCGGTCAAGAGCGCCGACAGCTTGGACGGCGAGGATGGCTTGGGTCCCCTTTTGGGGGGACCGCCTCCTACCAGAACCTGTGGTCACAGTCGATCCGTTTCACATGACTCGTACTTTGATCATTTGGCGGACGCGCCCAATGTGCCCTCGCCGTTAGATCTCTCAGAGATACAACTCAATTTCGATTTAGAAGAGCGAGAAATGAGAATGCTTTCAGAAGAAGAAGGTGGTGGAGTGGCGTCGGTAGAGGCATCGCCGCGTCGGCAAAGAAATGAGAGTAATCAATGCGCCGCCGCCACTGGCGGATCCAAGAGAAAACGATCTCGTTTAGAAGAAAGACTGCATTGTGACGTCGAATTGCGTTTTATAGACAGCCAAAGTCCCGATCAGGTAAATTACTTTAAATTGCCATCTGCTATATATATATATATATATATGGACTCATATATACATACATATATATGTGCGTTATTAATCTCTCACATCTTTCAGGTTATGGTAGCGACGAATGCGGATATACACAGTATCGACACACCGTCTCCGTTACCAACGCCAGGTTATTTGCCATTACTATCGGAAGCCTCTACACCGTTAACGCCCGCTACGTTGCAAGGCACATCTCACTCTGCGTCGCCAATAGCCAATAGTCCCAGAATAAGTTTCCGAAGTTTCACTCTGCCGTTAGAGATTGGCGATGAGCGTGATGGGAGTAGCGCGAATAAGTTGAAGGAAGCTAGCGTGTCGTCTTCAGAAAAGCTATCGGACTCTAGCCATAGATTATCGATAAATCTAGAAGACCGAGATAGGGGATTAAGGTCATGCGAGAGGACTATGACGACTTGTGACGAACGCGTAGAATTGCGTGATAGAAATATAACCATGTCACTTTCGGATGTTGAAAATAAAACTGCAAATCAGTCGAGCGCGGTTGCTTCGATTTTCAATAATACCATGGAGATGACATCATGTAACAGATTGTCCTCTTTATGCGGAGAAACGAAATCTGGCGGAATTACTGTATCTCGCAAGGACGCGACAGGTGGATCGAGCTCGCTTGATTCCGTGAAAATCTCGTCCAAGTCGTATAACGAAAAGGCGAGCGCAGCGAAGGAAAGCGACGAGATTACCGATTTACCGGATAATCCTGCCGCTGTAGCCAATTTGCCGAGGTTGTTGTCCAATACGACCGATCTCGATTCTCCGATGTCGTGCGAGCAAACTCTCCAGGAACTGCAAGAATCTGGATTTGTAATATGTGATAATTCCGACAAAGTGTTCACCAATACGGAGAAACCGCGCGTGGCGAGCAACAGCAACGATTCTGGCGATTGGGTGATCATTGGAAGAACGGCGACTGGTTCCCTCGCAACGCCGATCAGTGAATTGACTAGTCCCAACGATCCCTTTTCGGAAGGTGGCGCAAATCCGGCGACGTCTCCGGAAAACGATTCCGAAACATTGTTGGAACTTACCTCAACCACTGATGCATTCTGCATCGAAGTAGACACGAAATCAGAAAGTCGTATATTGACGCAAGAAAGCGAGAGGATGATACTCGATATTACAGATACAAAGAAGTACATGAAGAATCATGGACACGAGCGGGAAGATTGCGCAAACGATCCGCAAACGAGTTTCGATATCGTAAACGAGGGTAATCTCACGGAGCATTCCCATTCCCGATTGCGTGATCGAGAGAACGGCAATCGTTACTCGTGCACGATGGCAGATATTGACTCGAATCAGGAGTCTAACGCGAGAGAGCGGCAACAGCAGGTTCGCGCGTGTTACATTGAAGCTGATAACGCGAATGTATTTGGTACGAATCAGAACGATGTGAGCGGTGAAGAAAAGGAGGCATTCAGAGAGACGGAAACTTTCGAAAATTATCACCGTCTATCGAGAGATACGAGCACGCAACGTTCCCTGCACGTCATAAATCGGCCAAGATTTTCGGATAATTCCGAGGACGATCGAAAAAGGAGCACGGTTTCCATGATTCAGGATGATCGTGACAATGACCACTGTTCAAACGAACTGTCAAACAAGTGCCAAAGTTTCGGATACAATAATACGCAACAAGTACGTAAAAGCGCTTCCAAACGTAGCGACGAAAATCACAAGTGCGTAGCCAGTTTGCAGACTAATCAAATGCAAGATAACATTGAGATGAGAATCCCTTCGGAGAACGCGGCCGAACCCTGCGAGGTCGCACATGCACCGGAAGGCGCGTCCGAGCTGATGGAACGAACATTGGATGCTCCAAGTACGTCCCCGACTGCCGACGACACCGTGGTTCTACGAGATACCGCGGCCATCTTGCAGGAACTAGCTCTGCAGAGATTATCCGGAGGTGCCGCGCTGGGAAACGCGTCCGCGAGAAGAAGATACGAGAGCGAAACTGTCAGAGATCGCAGGAGCTTCGATTCGGAAATCGGCCGGGAGATTGTCAGGGAGAGAAGGATGAGGCAGGAATTAGACTGCGCGAGAGGAAAATCCGAGGAGCCGTCGCAACATCTGCCGCCCTGTTTGCGGGCGCGTCACGCGAGAGCGACACGTGCGGCGCTGAGTCGATCCCTAGACGAGGCCAAGTTCCATCGGATGACGGGAGAAATTCCGACATTATCGGTGAAACAAACGTCCGAGGAGCAGCATTGCTCCACGCCTAATGTCGGCGGCAGCGGCGGTGGCGCGGGCTCGAGCGCCTCCGAGAAGATTCAATTGAGGAATCTCGGCGGCCTGGATCTGGGCGACCCGCAATGCAGAGAGAGAATCGAAAAGTACAAAGAGGAGAGGAGGATGTTCTTGAGGGACAAGTATCGATCGGAGAGCTTCCGCGGGATTTCATCCAAGGCGACGGAGGACGACAGCGAGCAGGCGTTGTTAACCAGGTTGAAACAGAGAGCTTCGAGACCTTCTCTTCATTGATAAAGTTCTTCACTCTTGCTCTCTAAAGTAGTAGTATAAATAAGTTCCGGAGCAAAAAGGTAATATGTGAAAAATGCAATATTCATTATCTACCTGCATTTTAGAAGAGTGCAAATTATATAGAGAACGACTATGGAATTACTCGACCGTATATGCGATCAAATTTTACAATTTTCTCTTAATTGTTGTTGCATTATTGTTTTTTAAAGCAGCAAGTATACAGGGCAACTAACTAGAACGGAACATCGAACAAATATGTATCTAAATGATAATATAATAGAGATAATTTCGCGCTATTTAAAAAATTCCATAACTCGTATATTTTTATTGAATTTATATCCAATGTAAGATTCACGCTAAAACTTATTTGTACTACTCACGAATGCGAATTCTACTGCATTCATCGACGAATGTTATTTCTGCTTTTGTTGCGAGCCAATTGAATCGCTTTCACTTGAATCTCATCGGTGCCGCTGCGAATGATATCGGCAGCAAATTACGACGAGGATGATGAAACATAAGTTACTTGAGGATCCATAACTCGTCTTCGCCATTGTTAGCTAAATTGTATGGACGCTTTTAAAGCTGATAATTTATTACAAACTCAAAGATATTCACCTTTATTATTGTTAAAAGTTTTAATAACGATTCTCTGTAATTATTATTATTATTCTCTTTGATTTTTTTTTTTTATATTTACTTGTATTCTTTGTACTGTTATGCTAGAGAGAACGTATAATTGGGTTGCTTATTGTATGTACCAGAATCAACAATTTTGTGTGGGTTCTGATGACGTCAATATGCGAAATGTTAAATTCACCTGTTGCTCTCATGCATTGCAGATAGTAAGAAGTATAGTATTTTTTTATAGAAAAAAAATAGAAACGTATAAATTTCTTAGAATCTTTAATTTTTTTTTTTTTTTTTTTTTTTTAAGGAAAGTTTCTATATAAACCACATAAAATATGATTCACTTTGTCTGTTTCATATAGCTTTGGAAACAGTTGCGTTATTCCATGGGAGAATAATTGTTGACGAAAAAATTCGTGCATTGAAGATCTCTGGTACATACATGAAGTTTGAATAGTTTCGAACGATTCACGCGCTTACGACGCTTATAAATAAAACGTTTCATTCACGCATTAATGTTATATCCTAATTATGGACTGGTCCATAATGATATCTTTTTTTTGGAAATTTGTTAATATTTTTTTTCGGTTAATTAATATGTACAACATATTTGTATAACAAAAGCACGCTTATTGATGAAAGGCTTGCTTAAAATCAAGATTACTATCGAGAATAAGCAATTTTCTTAAAAATAAGTGCTTATCCTAGAGAGAGCGTATCGCACGCCGTTGTATGTGGTCTCGCGTTTTATTATTATTATTATTATTATTATTATTAAGTTTCAATCATTAAGCAGTAGTTTCTCGTTTAGCTACCTCACCATTCATCTCACCGCTATTACGGACGAAAATGTGACGCCACGCGACGCTCAGTTATATTTTACAGCTATATTTATTTTTAATCCAGCGGATTTAATCGCCATCTTTCTCCCATCCCCCTGAAAAAGAGAACAAATATTTTTTTTTATCCGCGGATATTTTCTTTTTGTTTCCATAAAGACATAACGCGAGTGCGTTTCTTTAGGTGACGGTTTGAGAAAACCGTTTGACAAGACTGGGCCAACAATTTTATCGAATATGATTTAAGCCGTGCTCTATTATTGCCGTAGACGTATTGCGAACAAAACTGCATATTCTAATATCTGATCTCCCGCAGATACTCGTGGCATTTATAATAGATTAGAGAGATAAATCGGGGAAATTGTTATTTCGTGCGAGGATGTTAAAATTTTCTTGCGAGCGTATAACATAAAGGAAAAAGAGCGATGTTATATATTGTTAAAACCGTGATTTTCCCGTATATAAAAACAACGATGCTCCCGCCGAGATTTTACTCAATGTACTTTTAATTATCAGCGTCGATATTTTGCGGCGATAACCAGAGGTATTAATTAACCGATTATATATCTCGAGACACCTTCCTAGCATCGTATCCTTTTGCATGTTCATGTACCTTGGCTTGAATATTTCTCGATCGAATATACTTTTATCGCGAGAGATCGATGCCTGTGAGAACGGCATGCAAGCACATATATATATATACGTAGTAGCGCGTATATTTCCGACATTTAATTATTAATGCATAAAATATATATATACACTTAGAGATTTTTCGATAGCGTCTCTCTCTTCCCTGGATATCCTTTAAAGGATGTAGTTTAATGGCCTAACTCTCTATACAGAGGTATCGTAGACAACGCTCTTATACAAAACAACCCCTTTACAAACGAGGTACCTAACGACGAAGAGATATACTTGTGTGCACAATATTGACGAGCAACAATAATACATCCGCGAGCGATGTGTATTTTTAATAAGTTGAGATTCTTGCGGTTTTTTCGCGAAATATAATCGTAGAGACTCGTTAGGATCCATATTATTAATGGCGCGAAAAGAGAGAGAGAGAAAGAGAGAAATGATACGAGATATAGAAACGTTTCAAGCCATTACAAGTAAAGTTCTCTATAAAAAAGAAACCGATACACAAAGACTAATTCTGTAATATTTAAAGGCTAATATAGTAATCTTGTTTTTGAGTGTAAACGGCTCACGCCTTTTCGCGGGCTGGGCGCATTTCTGTCCCTTTAGTTATAATCGTAATAATTGTTTCCGTTATATGAGAAAGACTACACTGTTTGTCGATTATAATTATAATATATACAAGAGTTGTAAAAAAACGTAAAATAAATATAAATGATGTAAACACTGAAAAAGAAGAGAGAGAGATGTTAAATAGATATTTCCAAGTATATCCTTTAAATACTACTTTGTGCATCAATAATTAATAGCGTGGTAATATAGAAGAATAGAGGTACCAAACAGAAAAAGTATCAAAATTAAGATATCATTTTGTTTTTCGGAATTTCAAACTCTTAAAAGTTCAAATTAAAAATTTATATCCACACAGAAATATAAGTCGTTCCCTGTGGGATTGTATCACAGTTTTGACGATATTGTTTCCAACTTTGAGCAAATGTTACTATTAATTAAGCGGAATCAATCTGGCCGATTCGCTCGCAAAACCAACGTATTAAAAATCACGATAAAGAAAATAAAAAGAAAACAGATTTGAAAATCTTTGTTCATCATTGCTATATAGATTTTATATAATTCGCCAAAGATGACGGGAAAAACCCCTACGATTTTCAAATTTTCAGTCTAGTATATAAATGAGCAATGAATACAAAAATTATTCTCTGATGAATAAATTAAGCAAATGAAACTTGCCTTAATAAAGTGCGGCACTGAATTGCTGCGAGATAGAGATCTATCGATTTAGGAATAGATTTCGGTATCTTTTTCTCTAATAATTAGAGCGTAATCGCAATATGTGTTTCTTTACTTTTTCAAACTGGGTGTTAAGCCGGTCTGTCCGCTCTCATTGAACCTCGATTGCTTTCGAGCGGGTTCATCTCGAGTCCCGCGGCAAGCCCGACTCTCGACACGTAAAGGACCTTTAGTCTTTACTTCTTTAAACGCCGGTGATGGAGTGGACGGGGGGGAGGGGCCTCTCGACCGATGGCGGAAGAGGGACGAGTTCGCTTTTATATCGTAGGAACGAGAGCCACTCGAGAGGCCAGGAAGCGCCTAAGGTGAGGGCAACTCCGTGACTATCGTCGAATCTACCGCGGCAATTATTTTTAAACACGCCGCGTAGATAGGGATCTCGCGCCAAGTACCGAGAAAGAGAAAGAGACGCGCGGGGGATCGCGTCTTTATTTATTTTTTACGTATAAATAGCTCAATCATCGCGCTACTGCTACCTAAAGACAATCGGCCCGATGCAACACGCGTTGGAAAATTGTCGATAAGAAATAGCGGAGATAACGGCATTTTTTTCCTCGACGAGCGCTTTCATCCCCCTCGCTTTCGCCGCCTCGCTCTCGCCCTCTTCTCGCCTCCCGCGTTTCACGCTCGGTCCTTTCCACGGGCGCGCTTTCACGGCGCGCAAATCGAATCAGAACGCCCCCGCAGGGTCGACGACAATGTTATTTGTTAGCGGAAGCGTCGTAGTAACCGGAGGTTGAAACGAGGCCAGATTGCCACTATGATCGAGTTAAACGGCACGTGGGCAGTAAAACGCCGCCGTTGTCTCCGCAACGAACGTATCCTCTCCTTTCATTTCCTCCTCTCTCGCGCGTCTATTTTTTTCTCCATATGATCTTCGTTTCGCGAGTCCGCAATTAAGCAGGAATTTTTCGTCGCCTAAAAAAAAA